TTAAGCAGAGGGCTTTAGTGGCACTGTAAGTCGAACACGGGTTTGTCTTTCTTTAACCACAGGGTGAGAGACAAAAGAGAGGCCCATGTTCTGTGCACTCATGTGCTCTTTTAAGATTGTCACTGAGACTGTAGCATGAGAGGAAATGGTGAATCTCCTCCTCATGACTCTGAACCTGATCTGCATTTACAGTTCCCAAAATATTCATGCTGCTTCAAGTGACATGTTTAGCATCACATGAACTTGGCCCTTCATATATGTTTAAGTTCTGAACACCAGTCAGCTGGTAGAGACAGTGACTGCAATCCTGTTTCTCTCCATGTTGTTCACTGTAACACAATTGGATGACTGCGTGGCCTTATAATGGAACTATAAAATTAGATGAAGCCTTATGGCAACACAGATTCTCTAGGAAGAAACTGCCTATTCCAAGCTATTTAACCTAAAAAGAAAACCACCTCTTCCTTCCATATGAACACAATGCAGATTTAAAGCAATGCCAATTTAAAACAAGTAAATTAGGAGAAAAGTCTGACAGAAGCATCCTTTTGCTTCAGGCTATATGAACTCTAAGAAAACCAACTATTTTAGATGGCATATTCTCTACATTTCCCTGCAGATACGTTGTGCATTTTAAGTATTTTAGGCGCACACTGGAGAATATACTCCCTATTCATCTCACCCACCAAATGCTGCAGCAGTGACTCAGGATGCTATTAGCAAAATGCAATTTTAAAAATAAATATTTGTTGCTATAGGAGCAGCTGAAATCTTGATCACCGTCCCAAAGAGAAATCTGTCACAACCATCATTTCCCTTGTGGCTACCAGAAAAAGAGATTAAGGCCCAAGTGGCCCAGTCACAATTCAGAGGACCAAGAGCTCTTGTAAGCAACTCCTTCAAGCTTGCCCTCAGTGACTGAACAAAGCTGTAGCCCTCTGAATGCTATTAGTCTGTAACTCCCATAATTCCTGACCATGGGCCATGCTGGTTGTGGTTAATGGGAGATTCTTCTATTTATGCACATTGTGAATATAATACATATTGACTCCCAATGCTCTGGCACATTTCGTTATTGAGAAAAGAAAGGAAAAACACAAAAAAAGAAGCATCATAAGTTGCTGTGGTCCCAGAAGAGTATCAGTTTTATAAGATAAAGGGTTTAATGAAAAGAATCACCTTCTTTAATACTGAATGGCGATCAGTTCATACAGTTCACCTGGCTATAATTACAGCAATATAACAAAGGAAAGAGACTTCAGATTTTCCGGAGAGCATGTTACATTTCCCAGAATTAAGTTATGCAAGTGACCTCATAAGAAACTTAAAGAATTGAGAAATAGCTCAACAATATTGTAAATGGGGTGCCTAGGGACAGGTTTGTGTATTATACCAGTTACCGTAGATTCCAGTGTATTAGGTGACTGGGCGTGTAAGACGCCCCCCCCCCAAATTAGCAGCTGCCAGTTGGGGGGGGGGCTCTTATACGCTTCAGCAGCTTTGCTGGGCAGCAGGCTCCACGCTGGGAGGAGGCTGCCCAGCAATGCTAAGCCGGCTTCGCCGGGCAGCTTCCTTCTAGCGCGGAGCGGAGCCCAGTTTCTTTGTAAGACAATGACCTGAGCTGGTCACTTAAGTGCCTTCATCAGGATCCCTAAAGAATAAGCTAGCTTGCAAGAGTCACAACTAAGTGGTGGTGCCCTCTGGGCTAATGGATGGGCCTTCCTCCCACTTCAGCTAGCTGCCAGGTGGGAGAACAATAGGTCAGTGTGGTGTGTGTTAGCAAAGCTGGAAGCAGGCTGGAAGCTTTAGACAGGAAGCCATGCTTCATGTGTCCTGGATCCAAAGCTGTGTCTAATGGAGAAGCAAGATCTGTTGGGGTTTTAATTCTGTGAGCCCCTCCAACTTATGTTCAGGTTGCATGTATGTGTAAACAAAACCTTCTATCCTAAAAACCATAATGTCTACTGACTATCATGAAAAAACAAAACAAAATGCTGGGTAAGCACCTGGAACCCCTCAAGTCTCTAACCGCTCAGAGATTGGAGTGCCATGTACAAATACTTTTAAGCTGCTAAGTTTTTTATATGTATACAATTTCAAATATTGCTGCCATGGTACATCAAGGTTTTAAAAAAAATGCAACTATGCTTTTAGAAAACTAAACACTTCTAAAATATTTTATTTTTTATTTACTTCATTTTTTAAAAAATAATTCATATCTCATACCTTCTGCATTAAATAAATTATGTTCCCAGGTTGTCTTTCTGGGTAAACAATAGAAGCACTTTAAAAAGAAAATAATAAAATTTAGCATGAATGTAACACAACAAAGTAAAGCAGAAACAAAATATTGTCTATTTAGACAGAAAAATACCTGGTGCCTAATGACAGTAACAGCATCACCAGACTACCTGGGGAGTTTGTGGCATCTTTTTAAAACTATCGTTCCAAAGGTAAAGAGTGTTGTTTGTTTGTTTGTTTGTTTGTTTTAAAAAGGCTGCCTCTCACAGTTCAGATGGCAGGGGAGCCCAGAGAAAGAACTCTGGTGATAAATTCAGTGCATAGGTAGATTGGTGTGGAGAAGGTGGCCCAACAGGTATTTGGTCCTAGACTGTTTGGTGCTGTAATGGCTCAGACCAACTCTTAGAACTGGGGTTGAGAGCCAGTGGATAGGGCTGGACAATATCTAGTATTCAACACTGCAATACATCACCAGCTAAACATCACAATGTATCAATATATCACAATGTCTGAAATAAAGATGGAGCTACGTAGAGGCATTGGTTGGCTTCATGGTTTTTCCTGCACACGTGCACACAGACACACACACACCATGATTCACAATATTTTGTAGGATCAAAAATTATGAAACCCATATCACGATAGGGACTTCAAACCAGTTTTGGATGCTGTATCACCCACCCCTACCAGTGGAGTTGTTGCAATACACGGCAAGATATGACCTCCCTACAGCTTCTGAACTGTCTTCAACAGCCAATGGCGCAGGCAGGGCAAGACTTTTTGGCTAAAGTTTGGGGCCCCACAGCCCATGGGCCCCAAAATGACTACTCAGAGACAGTGGCTGATGATACTGAAAGAAAGCAAATAGGTATTTGCTAAGAAAGGATGCAGAAGCTGGAACTTTCTTAGCGGACACATGCCTAGTTCCAACAATCTACACCCATTTCCCTGTGTGTTTTTTAATTTCTGTGCTCTTTCTTTGAAGACAAAAACCAGCCTGGACAGGCAGCACAGAAACGAAAGTGGGTTTGGAGAAGAGAAGCTGCCTGACCCTTTTCCCTCTAGTTATTTTTCAGCTCAACCCCACTCTACCCCACTTTTTCTTTTCCACTCAGGGCAACAGTGGAAGGGGATATGAAGAAGATAAGAACCAGAAGGAAAAAGGGTTAAGCAATTTCTCTCTGCCTACAATTCTTCAGCTTCTATTCATAGTCTGTCTAGGCTAATTTGAAAGAATCAGAAAGGGAGAAAAAAGTTTAATGTGCAGTTTCAGCCTTCAAAGTAGATGCTTGTCTATGCCTTTCCTTATATACATTAATCATGAGAGTGACTTTCAGAAGATTTCCTAATTCCCCAAAAGCAGCATGGCAAAAACTGCCTAAAGTTGTCTCTTGTAAGCAGTTTCTGGATCCAATATTGCGGCTGTTCTATCAGAGCAATCCTCCTGTGGAAGTCGGGGCTGTTATTTATTATTTATTATTACTTGTTGCAGAAGGGCACCTGCATTCATAAAATGTTAATCATCGCTGTTACACAAATGCCTTTGCTGAGCCCCGAAGATAAGAGATTATTAGTCAAAGCCATGTGCCTTACCAAAGGCACAAATGAGCTGATAACACTAAAATGCAAAGAAACCTAAAATGGCAAAAAGGAAACAAAACCCTACCACATTTCCATAGATAACACAAATCTCTGCCCCTTACAGCATTTTGAACCAAGAAATAAAGAAATCACAAGTGGAATGTAAAAGAATATATCACCATTAATTGTTCTTCATTCATTTCTCACTAGTAATTGCACTTGTTATCATTGGATAACATATCGACAAGTTCACATTCCTTCTGTTTCCTTAATCTCAAACACAAAAAGAAACTTTCAAAAAATAAATCACTAGATCCTGGGAATCTATATAACTGTTGTTTATAATATTGCAATGTACAGGCTTCTCACAACCTCAATGCATCATCAACAATAGCACATTTTGGCAGACGTTTGGAGCAATGGAAAAGATTCCCATATTATGAGCATCTGTTCTGCAAAGCCATTAGCATTGCTTCTGTTTCCTAAAAGAAGCTCTGCAGTCCAATCCTATGCATATTTAGTTAAAAGTGAGCCCAGTTAAAGAAATCTTTCTGCAATGATTTCTTTAAAAGTTAAATAACCTCGCCTAAAAAATAGAAAAAGACAAACAGCTGTCAGATTCACTGGAGGCAGCCTCCCCAGCTTCCTACTCACAGGAAAGCCCAGCTGAGAATGCCATGGGGATTTCAGGAAATGGGAGCACCCAAGAAGGATGCAGAATACAACCCAGTGAATATATCTACAGCATGAAAGGACACTCACAAACTCTTCAGCTCCCTTGAAAGTACATTAAGTGCAACAAAAACTCCAAACCCCATCCATGAGATTTTCATTCAATTATTTCCTCCCCTTTGATTTTTTTTTTTTTAAATGTAGCTTCTTATGTCACTAACTGAAGTAGTGGGGTGGAGTAGGTAAAGCATGGGAGATGCTTTCAGTGCAGTATTACTCCTGATAGTTGTGTCCAGCAGTGTTTGGAGGGCCCAGGGCAACTGGGCCAAAACAGCCAACCAAGGTAGGTAGGCAGTTTTCTAGTTTGCAACCACAGAGAAAGGACACCTCTTATGCTTCCCATCTCCATAAGTTTCAGTATGATGCTGGTGTCATACAATAAACCGTATCAAGAGGAAAAAAACACAAAAGAATAAAATAGAATTAAAAATTCACATAAATGGTACCTGATGTCAATAGGATGGATGAATCGAATAGATCCAACTAGGAACTCTTCACGCAGGTTTTCTTCACAAAGTGCAGTCAAACTATGGAGCTCGCTCCCACAGGAGGCAGTGATGGCCACCAATTTGGATGGCTTTAAAAGAGGACTGGACAAATTCATGGAGGAGAGGGCTACTGATGACTACTAGCCATGATAGCCATGCTCTGCCACCACAGCTGGAGGCAGCAAATGCTTCTGAATAACAGTCTCTGGAATCCACAGGAGAGAGGAGTGCTCTTGTGCTCGAATCCAGCTTGCAGGTTTCCCACAGACATCTGGCAGGCCTCTGAAAACAGATGCTGGACTAGATGGGCCACTGGCCTGATCCAACAGGCTCTTTTTATGTTCTTATCTCTATCATGCTGAACTGTTTGCGCTGATTGTATCTAGCTGATCCCTCAGCAACAAAGAATCATTAATATGAAGAACTATGCAAGTAATGATGGCAAATGGGAACCATGCCAGGAGAGTCGCTACCTGTTTAATTCTTCAGCACTCCTACAATTTTGAGAATTAGTTCAGAAATGTGTTTAGCTAATGTCCCCATGATTGCATTAAGAGAAATATATACTACCAATTTCATTTAATGAAACGCTGGGAATGTTACAATTCCCTGACTTAGTTTAATGCTCTTAAAGACATGTGCACATTATCCACAGTAAAGCTAACGACAAATTCTGTATCTCTCTAGATGGTAGTTAATTGTTAGTGATGGAATAAATTCATGGCTGATTATCCTGTATCTAGGCAACTTAAAAATAAATGCACAAGCTTATTTCATCTCTTATTCACCAGTGCAGGAAATACAGTGCAGGTTCCACAGTATGTCAGCTCTCAGAGGTATGGCACATTAGCTTGATAGACTATATTAAGACTAATATGCATTGGAAGTGAGATCGCAACAAGACCATTTTGCTGAAATGCGATGAACCCCAGGATACCTGGCTGCTACTTTAAGCCCAATAAGCTTACTTCTGATGATTGCTTTAATTTCCAGTGTGTCTGGAACTGTCCAATGTCATATTTTAAAAAAGGAAATGTTACAAAATCACTATGGATCCAGACAGAGTTTCCATGAGTGGAACTTCACTTATGGAACACATTTTTTAAAAAAAGATTAGGTGAAAATGGGGCTGAACCAACTTCTGATTGAACATGTGTGAAAATGACATAAAATAGAAATAGAAGGATCCATAACTACTCTAGACAGTGTGGAAGGTGGCACGGGAGGCTGTAGGAAGAATAGGCAAAAACAGCTCCCCTTTCCCGTTTCCTTTGGAGAAGGAGCCTTTTTAGGGCAACTCTGGATACAACCCAATGCAAGTTAATAGGTGCTGCAGTCCAAATTTCTGTAAAACAAAGTACTGGTGATTTTGCTGTTTTTTTAGATTTGTGGGACTCCAGAAATGAAAACAACTTGAAAGATGACAACTATTTTATATGCAGTTTCTCAACGGTTGTCAAGGGCAGAAAGTAAAATAATCCAACATCTTTGTCTCCCACATCTTCACACAGATTCCAAGCCTCCATTTCTGGCAATATGAGAAAGTCCCGGTTACTTCATAATCCAAGGATGTTGTTGATTTAGATGAAAAACAAATGTTCAAGGCAATGAGGCTCCACAGATCATAACAGGTTCTGTCTTATTTCCTCAGGTGGGCATCATCAGCATGAGGTCACATTGGCTGGTCCCTCCCCTTAGGGTAGGAAGCATCAGCACAGGATTGCAATGGTTGGTCCCTTCCATTCAAACAGACAGCATTAGTACAATGTCACAATGGATGACTGCTCCCCTTGAGGCAAGAAACATCAGCACTAGGTCACAATGGCCAGCCTGCCTTCTTGAGGCAGGGAGGAAGCATGAAGGCACGTTGGTCAGGGCTGTATCTCATGAAAGCAGGCTTCATCAGACCGTGGGCACAAGGCAAGCAGAATCAGGAGCACACTCATTCTCGGTGAGAAAAGCTATGCAAGAGCACATGAGCAAAGTCTCTCTCTTCCAGAGGTGGGTGGCAGATGATAAGACAACATAATGGACACCAGCATCTCTCTCACTCAAATCAGCAGCAATATTTGGTTGGAAAAGCTGTAAGCAAAAAGAAGAGAAGTTAGCAGGTAGACACCCCCACTATTATGCAAAAGAATGCTTAAAAAACAAACCGTCTGGCAAGCCCCTCTCCATGTATTTATTTTGTCTCTATGAATCTCAGCGGACAGATTTAATCATGCTGCATGCCCAAAAAGAGCTGATGTGGTGTCAGGGAAGCAACCTGCCCCTGCTCTTGTCCCAAGGGTCTATAGAGGTGTGTCACTCCCACACAGCCCTACTGAGGCATGCAAAAGGTTTAAAACTGACTGTGAAAATTAACAAGGGAGAAGTCACACTGTCAACACCTATTCCTCGTCCTCATCTCTCCCCCATCCATCCATCATTTTGTTTCCCCCATTTTCATTTGTCATCATTTTGTGTCTTTTTAAAAATAAAATGGTTCTATACTTTATTATATTACATAATACTTCAAATAGATAATTAATTATACACACATATTCTATTACTTAGAAAAACAAAATCCTGCCAAGACTTAAATTTTCAATAATGAACAAAAACATGTCCATCTCTCAGCAAACAAAATCTGAATACTCGTATTTCTCATATGAATCAAGTTGGTTAATTTGTCCGTTTCTGCAAGCTCTAAACATTTCAATAATCATTCTTAGATAGATGTGATGTGTGGCTTTTTCCTCTTGTGAACCCACACAATTTTTGTTGTTATTAATAAATGCAAGTCTTTAATAATGAATTTATTTTGGAATATCCTCTGCAATCCAAAATCGACATTGGGCTAAGTCCCTCTGTTAGATCCACCATTTCTGATATAATGCATATTATTTGCCTCCAAAAAACATAAGCCAGCTTGGCTGCCCCACCAAATATGAAGCAGATATGCATTTGTGACTGAGCACTTCCAACATTTGAACTGTGTGCCTGAATAAACATTGTCAAGCCTAGCTGGTGTCATATCCCACCGTAATAGCTTGTTACATTGATAGACTCAGGATGGCATTCAACCTCACACTCTTCCAATCATTCCATCTGTGCAAGCATTTCAGCTTGCCAGATAGAACCCCCCTCTCCTCCTCCACGTTCTGGGGCTTCTCCTGACCCCCTTCCTAAATGCAAATAAACCTTCAGGCAGATGGAAGAAAAGGCAGAAGCAGCAGTGACCTGTGTTCCCAGCCTTCCTAATGAGGACTAGAACCACAATGTGCATTCCGAGGGGGTAAGTAACCATGCAGAAAGTAGATATGATAGAATTTTGCCTCCCTCACAACAGAACTGGGGTCATCTAAGAAAGTTTAAAGGTCAGAGATCCAAGATAGACAAGAGAATATATATGCACACAGCACATTGTCCGACTACAGAATTTGTTCTCACAAGATGCAGTGATGGCTGTCAACATGGATGGCTTTAAATGGGATTTGACAAATTTCAGGGAAGATAAGGCTATCAGTGACCACTAGTAATGATGACTATATACTCCAGTACTAGCTACTAAAGAAATGTCAGTGGGAGAGTCCTGCTACCTTTTGCTCTGCTGGTGGGCTTCCCATTGGCCACTGTGAGAATAGAATGCTAGACTAGATGGGCCACCAGCACGCCTTGTGCTGTTCCTGTCAAGATTTCTCTTGCATAAAGGCAATTCATCTAAACAACCTGGCATTGTTCTGTAAATTACATGTCAATTTCAAACAGTTCGTGAGCTTTAGTCCAATGAATGAAAATTGAATTGAGTCACAGGGTTAACAAGAAATTCTATACATCTATCTAGAAAGCAGCTGGCTCATTTACCTTTTCTGAGCTGGATAAAAATTCATTTTGCATGTGTGTGTGTACAGATGTGTGTGCTTGATTCAGGTATCATCAGCCAAGCGGTACAAACAGGCCAAATTCATAATTACAAACTTCAGTGCCATAACTACTAAGGATCATTAGTCTGATTTTTATTCATTTCCCCCATATATCTAAGTGCTATTATCTTAGAAATCATTACATCTTTTGGGCTCTCTCAGTGTCTGCCTCCTGGCATTTATATGGATTATGGTGATCTATGGGTGCTCAAAAAAATTAAAGACTTAGGGATGGGTGAACTCCAAAGGGTGATTTTATATATATGGCCCTCTTCTCAAAGCCTGCTTTATTCCAAAGAGAAATCTCATACATTTGATCTTCCCTAAATAACATGCTACAGAATAGCTTCAAAAGCAAGAAATGAACATGGAAAAAAGTCTGTTAGTTAAATGATGTATGAAGATGCTCATTTATTACAGATGAAGATGCAGCCCAGACTGAGATGACAATTATGAGCAGGGGCTGTTGATCTCTGAAAGAAAAAAATGAAGACACATCCTTATTTGGGGGGGGGGATGGGGGGGAGCTTAACTTTACAGAATTTTTCCTTAGGAAGAATATTGGGGAAATGAGTTCTGAACTGATGTTGCAGGAAGAGGAGGAGCTTATAGGAACAAGTAGTAGGGCATCTACATTTTTCTAAGGAGGGGATGGCCCCATGCAGCAGTGGTATGTAGTCAGTAGGAGGCCAGTGAGCATGACTGTGGTGCTGGGGGCCACGCTCTTTTTGCTACACAGTCACAAGGGCACACACTACGAGAGATGGGTTAACCCTCCCCTTTCTGCACACCATTCAATTGTTTTGATTACAGGGGGAAAGAAAATACAATAATTGCATTTTTGTCATGAAACATGACAAAGAACATTTGTCTATAACTGGGAAGACCTTATCCATTAAGTTGAGGCAATTATGCCTTCAAATGTCATCCAATTTTGTCAACTGGGAGGGAGGGGTGTGTATAGACTATATATATATATATATATATATATATATATATATATATATACACACACACACACACACACACACACACACACACATCATTTGTGGGGAGGGTGGACTACGATTTTTTTCAGGCTTGCTCATCTCTTCACACTAACAAACCAAGATGTTGGCTTGCTTGACTCATAAGACCTGCAAAATGTGTGCTACTAATGTAATTATTCTCCTTGCTAGCACTTTTTTTCCTGAAGCCTAAATAACTGCAGAAACCCTATCGTCCAGAATTTAGTTTATACCAAATTACTCCTGTCTAATAATATTTCTCTTTTTATGTAACATAGTAGAGCAATTTAAAAGATTATAGTCTTGAACCAGAATGATTACATATTGGGAACATTTTGTTTGGTTTTGTTCTTGCAGCATTTCTGTGGCAAGGGAGGGAGGGAAGATAGAAAAAGCTGAGGGTGCTGAGAAATAGGCAACAGCAAACAATACTTCAAACTGCAAGGTAAACAGTATTTTTATTACTTATTCAAACAAACAAATGTATTTTAAAATTCAGTGATGTTAGAACATACACTAGGTGAAATTTATGCTGCAATTAAAAACTAATTGCCACTGTTATTTTTAAGTTGCTAATTCTATTTCTTGCTTATTTGTGCATGCGTGGCATTGGATTGATCAGATAAGCAGTCAAGCTTCTTTTTTAAGAAACCACTTTTATTAATATCAGATATATGGAAAGTGATGATGCCTTGAAGATTTCGTATCTGCTACATTTTATCCCCCAAAGGAGCAAGAGTGGGTAACTTAGCTAAGATTTTTGTCAGGGAAGAGTTAGAGGTTTTCAGTTTATCAGAGGGAGAAAGCATTCCCCAAGGGGGGGAGGAGAGCAGTGAATCTAATAGAAGGGAGCAAGAGGAACAACAGGGAGGGACCGGCTGTTCACAGGAAAGGCAAGGGTTAAGTTCTAGCTCAGATTCGGAGGAGGGGAGATACAAGCCAGCTCTAGCCAGGAGGTTAGAAAAAAGAGCGGGAAAGCGAAGGGAAAGGCGCCTTCGCCATTTTGAGAGTGGCTGGTCATGGAGAAGCAGAGCTCAGAAGGTATCTGAAAGAAGTGACTCTGAGGAATAATAGTTAAGAACTGTTTATAAGAATGTTTTGTTAATACGCAATAAAAAGTTTTATAAAAGAACAAGAAGCGTTTCTGTGGTGATCTGAAGAGGACAACGACCAGTCCTGACAATTTTCTTCTTAGTGTCTTGCTAATCTATCTGTAAAATGGAGGTGGTCAAGTGGTAAATAGGGGTTTATGAATCTGTCAGTTTTCTGATTTTTCTCAGATGCTTATTTTTCCAATATGAAATTCAGTGCTTCATGTTTCTGCATCCCCATTTCTATGATTTTTTAAAAGTCCTCCCAAATGATTTATCAGCTTTTTACTAAGTTTAAAAAGGTAAAGGTAAAGGACCCCTGACAGTTAAGTCCAGTCACGGACAACTCTAGGGTTGCGGCGCTCATCTCGCTTTACAGGTCGAGGGAGCTGAAGTTTGTCTGCAGACAGTTTTTCCAGGTCATGTGGCCAGCATGACTAAGCATCTTCTGATGAAACCAGAGCAGTGCACAGAAACGCCGTTTACCTTGCCACCGGAGCGGCACCTATTTATCTACTTGCACTTTGATGTGCTTTCAAACTGCTAGGTTGGCAGGAGCTGGGACCGAACAACAGGAGCTCACCCCCATTGCAGGGATTCGAACTGCCGACCTTCCGATCGGCAAGCCCTAGGCTCAGTGGTTTAGACCACAGCGCCACCCACATTTACTTTCTCCCAATATTTTTATTAACCACAACTTATAGACAAACCTACACCCTGATGTTTTCCTATATTTTAAGTTTCAGCACAGAAATATGATGACTACCCTGCGGTAATATCATGTTTTTCACTGTTCACAATTATACTAAAATGAAATAATTAAAAGTTGTAAAAACAATCTAAGGATAACCAAGATTGTTTCTTTGCGCACAGAGACCCACACACTTCAGAGGATGTTGGTTCAAGAATAAATCCTATGTCTTCACAGATTAAGTAAGGACTGCAGTGTCAAGACTTCTATCTTGTTACAAAGGTGGTGTGTCCGTTTGCAATATATGATACTTTTCCTGCATCTTCATCCCAAGGACCTTCAGACATGTTCAAATCAATGGATTAGAAGTGGGAAACTACTGCATCCA